GGCTCCGTGGGTGCCCTAACCCAAATCCATTGACCTCTCCAGTCCTTGTCTGAAGAGTCGTTCGGCCACATGGTTAGGAACGGGGGCCGAGACTCAATCCGATACCACCCAGAGCCATGGCATCCGTGCCCACTTTGAATGTTTGGCACTAGCCGATGGAGCCTTTTGAAGCAATGCAGGTTCGGCACGTACCTGAAGAATTTGCAGACCCATAAGTACGTCATTACCCTTCGGATGCTGGTGGGGGTCAGCTGGCACAGGGAAATGTTGTAATGGATCAGCAAGTCTCGGACGAATACGTCCAAAGGGAACCTCAGCCCGTACTGGAGTTGTCTTGTGTACACCCCCACATACCCCGGGGGTGGACGGTGGATTCTATCGGAGGCCGTGGGCATTCGGCACCAATACCCATCGGCTTCAAGGATGCCGTAATGCAACTCAATTTGCTCGGCAAACCGGTACTGATCAGCATTCTCCACCCACCATGAGTAGGGGCGGTTCTTTATCATGGCCGAAGCTACTTCGGCATCCTCCCACTCTGAAAACCCTGGGAGGATATCCCAAAGGACAGCGGGAACTTCATCATCCCGTCCTGAAGCGCTCACCCCCTCAGCCCTCTGAGGAGGAGCCGAAGAAATGGGAGTCGCCCTAACCCCTTCAGCAGGGTCAGACTCTGTCCTTCGTCCATTCCAGGTCCCAATCCTGTCCCTGGGATCGGGGATTAGCCTTGCTCTTCTTGGAGCACGGGCTCCACCTCTAACTCCCCTCACCATTGACGAATTTCGAAGGAAAAAGTCGAAAAAGGGGAAAGAGTGCAAAGTCGAAGAAAAATGAAATAAAATCAAAGGAATTTACCTTGATCTGAAGCAAAAGTCGCCGATTTACGAATTGGTAGTGACAAGTCTCAGCTTCTAAGCTTAATGCTCGGGGAATTTGCGAAGTTTTGATGCGGGCTCTTGAGCGTTCTTGAGAATTCTGGGTTTGTGTTGATGAATGAGTGGGGAGAGAAGACGCGCCTCTATTTATATCTCCAGAAATGGGAATTCAAGGAGTCTGCGTTTCAATTTCTCTCAAGCACCCCACTAAGTAACCGTTAAACACACGACCTTGCAGTTAAATCGCCCACTACCCGTCCAACTTCCGCAATTATCCACATTAACTGTTGTTATCTCATTAATCATGGGTTAATTATGGTTTAAATTCACATTTTTGGATTAACAAATCATTCACTTCCCTCCTTTTCTGATTAAATCAAACCCGACCCGTCATCCTTCCAAATCGGGTCTGGGGGGCAAGTTGTTTGGGTCCAATTTAGTCCAATTGGGCCTGGTCACTGAATGATCCAATTAAAAGCCCAAGGTTAAGGTTCAACTCTCCAAATGTGCTAAAGTCAAAAATCAACATCCTCAAAGCCATGTCAAGGACAGTCAACGGCCCAATCAGCTTGGCCCAGCCCAACTGACTTCCGGGCCCAATCCGCCTCCTTCATTAGCCAAGGTATAAAAGCCAACAATTTGGTCAATTCTTGGTAAGACAATAAAGCCTCAAGCAACTAAACTCTTGCACAGCTTTCTCTCTCTAATATACTGACTTAAGCATCGGAGGGGCCTTCCTCGGCGTCCCCCCCGAGGCTAGTTTACGTGTATTTGTTGTGCAGGAAACCCTCGGCTCCTGCGTCGTTCGGACCGAGACCAAGTTCCCTCAAGATAAAAGGATCTTCCGAGATTCGATTGTTTTCATCCGAAACAAAACTCATTGAGGCATTTCGTTGAACACCTTGTAAGCGACAATCGTAAGAATAATATTGTAAGAATTACAATGGTTTCCTGAGTTATTGCAAACATCTTGGTCTTTGGGTTTGAGTCAAATCATCCATTATTATTGCACAGCCACCATGAATTCACCCAAGTAACCTATCCCTTTTTCCAATAACAGACGAAGGCAATATAAAAAGGAGGAGAGAGGATAATAAGTTTAAGAGCAAACACAATGGTTGCCCACAATCATTGTGGTTATTGCTTATTTTATTAATTTTACATCTTCCACCTCACCTATAACCACTCTTATACCCATTTAATAATCAATGTCTTCCAATAGTTAACCACATCTTTTTGGTTATACATTTTCTCTCCCCTACTTTTACCCAACCCCACCACACAATATCTCTCTTAAATCCTATCATATATAACTAATACACTTGGTATTAATCAATCAAAACTAATAATTATTATTAGCATACATTAATTAAATAAAATGACTTATGTTTAAAATTAATGCATTATATTATTTAATTAGTAAGTAATTAGTCGTTAATTAAGAAATACACAATAGTTGCAACTTTACTAAATTCGATAATAGTACATATTCTATCAAATAACAGCAATCTTTAAAAGATAAAAACACTACTAAAATTCTGTCGAATTGCGACCGTTTTTCTACGACCGTCATGAAAACGGTCGCCAAAATTGATATTTGCGACCGTTTTTTAAGCGGTCGCAAATTTGCGACCGTTTTTTAAGCGGTCGCAAAATTACGATCGTTTATGGGCTATAAAACGGTCGCAAAGGTAATTAAATATATTTTTAAAATAAAATTCATGTAAAAATTTATTCAAAATTAAATTAATTATGTTACGACTATTAGTAGCGGTTGCAATATGTGTTAATTACGACCGTTTGAGAAACGGTCGCAAAATGCGTAAATTACGACCGTTAAAAGTGTTTTTTTTTTTAATTTTAAGAAAAAGGGTATATAAGGAGATCACCCAAACCCTAGTATTAGAACAACCGTCTCACGCATCCTCTATCCTCTCTCTCTCCTCACGCATCCTCTTCTCCTCTCTCTTTTCTCACACCCTTCTTCTTTCTCTCTCTTCTCTTTCCTCTTTCCACCTCCTTGTGAACGACCCTCATCTCATGAATCCTCTTCTCCTCATCTTTTTCTCCTTCTCTCGCATCTCTTCTCTTCACCAACCCGAAATAGAGCAGCCACCGTCACAAGCAAAGCCAACCGTTAAAAGCAACAAGCTAGTTTGGTGTTTATGGTCAAATTCGGCCTTAAAAATTCCAGATCTGGAGTTTTCTTGGTCGAATTTGACCATATTAACCTAAAGAGGAAGATAGATTATGAAAGGTATGTTTATTTTTCTGAAAATTTTGTTTATTTTCAAATTTTTTGGTTGAATTTCGTATTCCGTTCGAATTTCCATGTTTGTTTGATTTTGTTATCGATTTTTGTTAGCGTTTTTGTTCCAATTCCTTTGATTTTGGTTTTCTTTTGAGTTTTTGTTAATTCTGTTCGAATTTGTTCTTTATTTGTTCGAATTTCATAGATTTTTGGTTTGATTTTAAGCTCGAACTTGTCGAATTAAGGTTCGAATTTGTGGGTTTAATTGTTGAATTTTGGTTCAAATTATGAGGGTTTTGTTTCGTTTTTTGTTTGATTTTTTGTCGAATTTTTTGTTCGATTATGTGGGTTTAATTATTCTGGGTTTTTTTTGGTTGAATTTTTGGCCGATTTTTTTATTTAATTTTTGTTCGTTTTTTGGTTTAATTCTGAGCATTTTATTTGTGGGTTAATTGTTTTGATAAATTTGGATTTTTGTTCGAAATTGTTTGATTTTTGTAGGTGATTTTTTTTAACTGTTTTTTTGTGTTAAGGGTGAGTGGTGGAGGGTATTGGTGGTTGAAGTTGGGCAAAGATAATGGTGGGTAGAGGGCGACAGAGGCGGCTACTGGTTGTTTAGGGTGGGCAGTGGTGGTGGTTTGGGTGGGATCTTGGTTAAGGGTGTGGGTGGGTGGGTTTTTTTTTCTTTTTTTTTTGTTTTTTAAAAACTTTTAGCGACTGCTTATGACGGTCGCTAATTTCAATATTTGCGACCCTTTCATAAGACGATCGCAATTTTTAATATTTGCGACTGTTTTTTTTTACGGTCGTTGAAAATAGTTAAAAAGGCCGTTAAATATCTGCGACCGTCAAATGGTCGAATATTTTTTTTTGCGACCAAGATAATAACGACCGTCATGTTGCGACCGTTAATGGTCGCAATTATGTTTTACGACCGTTTTCACTATTTTTTGCGACCGTTTGCGCCAGTCGCAATTTGGCCAATTTTTAGTAGTGAAACGAACCGTGCTTGGGTACAAATACAATAATTTAATATTACGATTATACAACTATTAACGCAAATTATTTTGCCTACTGTGAACACCGAATTTGAGCCACATATGTTCAACTAAGTCTTTCTTTAAGGCTTTATGCATAGCTTCATCACGAACACGAGCTCTATTAGACATATAAATTTCCAAACTTGCAATTCGGTTGTTGCTATTTTCGAACTGAAAAGGCTCTTTAGTGTTTCTATTACTTGAAGACACGTTTGTAGCTTGAACATATTCATTTGGATCATAATACGTTTTATACGTATCTCTTTCGTCCTCAACGATCATAGTGTGCATAATAATACATGCTATCATTATTTTTCCTAACATTGATGCGTCACGAGCTAGCGCAGGATTTCGTATTATTGCAAAACGAGCTTGTAATACTCCAAAAACACGCTCAACATCCTTTCGTCTAGCTTCTTGTAATTTGGCAAAAATACCTTCTTTTTCATTTTGTGGTAGTGATATTGTAGGAATGAATGCTGCCCATTTAGGATATATACCATCAGTGAGATAATACCCCATATTGTAATGATGGTCATTCACAACATAGTTAATAGAAGGTGCACGACCTTTAAAAACATCGTTAAACAAAGGGGATCTATCAAGAACGTTAATATTATTACGACCACCTGGTGTCCCCAAAAAAGCATGCCAGATCCAAAGATCATATGATGCCACAACTTCCTATATTAATGTGGGCTTACCTGGTCTTCCAGAAAACATACCTTTTAATCGAAGTGGACAATTTTTCCACCGCCAATGCATGCAATCAATAGAACCTAACATACCTGGAAATCCTCGACGTTCACCAATTCTTAGTAGTATTACTAGATCTTATTCATTGGGATTTCTAAGGTATTCATCACTAAAGTAAGAGACAATTCCTTCCACAAAATGTTGTAGTGAATCTCTTGCAAGAGATGCACTAATTCGAATGTAGTCATCTACAGAATCAGCAGAGGTGCCATAAACTATTAGCCTCATAGCAGCTGTGCATTTTTGCAATCCGGAGGCACCAAATCTTCCTGTAGCATCTTGTCTTTGTTGAAAGAAGGGATGACGTTCTTCTAAAGTTTGCTTTATTCGGAGAAATATATGTTTGTTCATGCGAAATCTCCGACGAAATAACTATGGGGGAAACACAGGATGGTCAGCAAAGTAGTCATTCCATAAACGATTGTGTCCATCCTTACGATCCCTTGGAACGGGGATCCTTGGTGCCCTTGGAACTTGATTTAACATTTGATATACTTCAATTGGATTGGACATAAAAAATTCATCCATCATTCGGTTAACAAGACGATTGGCTTGCCTTCGTCTTTCATATCGTTGTGTTTGACTATTTTTCTTATTGGATGAAGAATTAGAAGAGTTGGAGCTTTCGTCGGATGACATGTTATTAAAACCAAGTTGATATGAGAATGGAAGGTAGAAGTTTTTTAGGGGAAAAGATGGATGGTTAATCAAGTGAAATGTATCTCATCCATTTTATAGAACAAATGTATTGGGTACGTAGTCATCTTTATTGTCTTATATGGTGAATTTAAAGTCTTGCATGCATGCATTGATTCAGAAAAAAATTAATAATTTTTCAGTAATGTAGATGCATGCATTTGTATTGTCAATATCACCTTAACATTGTTATGTACGTAAAAGCAATGTAATGTTACTATTAACTTTTCAGTGTTAAGTATATCAGTGTGCAGTGTTTATCACTATTACCTTTTCAGTGTTAAGTACATCAGTGTGCAATATTTATCACTATTACCTTTTCAATGTTAAGTAAATCAATGTCTAGTATCTAATATTTGCTTTTCAGTGTTGGGTACATCAATTCTTTTTCAGTGTAATGTAAATCAATTTACATATTTTGCTGTGAAATATCAAAGTGAATTGATGGGTTTATTCAAATCAATAATAATTATATGTATATAAAGCGTATCGTATAATACGATTTTAATACTAGATATGTAATAAACTTGTTTTTTTTATATTAATAATAACATTACAATGTAACATTCATTCATATCCTAAATCAAAAACACATTAAAAATTGCAAAAATAAAAATTGAACCTTAGTACATAAAACAGAAAACTAAAAAACAAATTCAACTAATAAGCAAATTCAACTAGTGGAAGGACTTCCATGTATTAAGTTCCTGTATGACAAAGTGTGTGATGCTTGTGTTAGAGGAAAACAGACTCAAGTTTCTGTTAAGTCCAAGAAAATGGTAAGTACCAAAAGACCTTTGGAACTTGTTCATATGGATCTATGTGGTCCTATGAGAATCCAAAGTAGAAGTGGTAAGAGATACGTTATGGTTATTGTTGATGACTTTTCAAGGTTTACTTGGGTTTTCTTTCTTGTGAGTAAAGATGAAACGTTTGAGGAATTTGTAGCTTTTGTAAAGAAAGAACAGAGAAGAACAGGCAACCCATTGATACACCTCAGATCAGATCATGGCACAGAATTTGAACATTCAAAATTTGAAGAATTTTGCACTGAACATGGAAGGGATCACAACTTCTCTGCCCCTAGGACCCCTCAACAAAATGGAGTGGTAGAACGCAAGATCAGAAGCCTTGAAGACATGGCTAGAACAATGCTGATCTCAAGTGGTTTGCCTAGGAACTTCTGGGCAGAAGCAGTGAATACATCATGCTATATTCTTAACAGAGTATCAGTTAGAGCCATTATCAACAAAACTCCTTATGAGCTGATCAAAGGGAGAAAACCTAATATTTCTTACTTTAGATCTTTTGGTTGTAAATGTTTTGTTCATAACAATGGTAAAAGGAACTTGGGAAAGTTTGATGAACGTAGTGATAAGGCTGTATTCTTTAGGATATGCTTCTAATAGTAAAGCATATAGAGTTTATAATAAAAGGACAATGTGTGTTGAGGAATCTGTACATATTATATTTGATGAAACTTAACAGTCTTTGAATAATGTACATGAGTGTGATAATGATTTCGAAATTAGACTTGTCCGCAAGACAGATCCAGATGAAAAATCAACATCATTGCAGAAGCAGCAAGTGGAAATTGGTGAGCAAACAAATCTGGAAGCAAATGAAGAACCAGAAACGAAGAATGCTCCAGGAACTCCTGCTCAAGAACAAGATCAAAATCAGAATGAGGAGAATCCTGTTGAGGTTCCAACTGAGCTCAAGAACAAGTTCCTACAGAAGAACCAGTCAACAATGATCAGGAAAGATTGTATCCAGTGAAGGACTTTACACCTAAACGATGGAAACATCAGAAATCACATCCTGTTGATGCAATCATGAGTGATATTACAAAAGGAACTCATACTAGATCTCAACTTTGGAACTTCTGTGCATTCTATGCATTCCTTTCTTCTATGGAACCTAAGAATTATGTTGAAGCTTTAACTAACGCAGACTGGATTAATGCTATGCAAGCTGAACTAAATGAGTTTGAAAGAAATAAAGTATGGCATCTGGAACCTAGACCCAAAGATAAGAAGACAATAGGTCTAAAGTGGGTGTTTAGGAACAAGCTAGATGAGCATGGTATTATTGTCAGAATTAAAGCAAGACTGGTTGTACAAGGTTTCAATCAACAAGAAGGAATAGATTATGAAGAAACATTTGCTCCAGTAGCCAGGTTAGAGGCTATTTGTTTACTTATTGCTTTTGCTACATATATGGGATTCACGTTGTTCCAGATGGATATGAAATGTGCTTTTCTAAATGGTTTTCTGAATGAAGAAGTCTATGTGGAACAACCTCCTGGATTTGAAAATCCAGAGTTCCCAAACCATGTCTACAAGCTTGACAAAGCTCTTTATGGGTTGGAGCAAGCTCCTAGAGCATGGTATGAAATATTGTCAAAGTTCCTATTACAAAATGGTTTTAAACGTGGCAAAATAGATAAAACTTTGTTTTTAAAATCAAATGGAACTGACATATTAGTTGTACAAATTTATGTTGATGATATTTTGTTTGGTGCAACTAATGAATCTTTGTGCAAGTATTTTGCTGACCTTATGAGTGGAGAATTTGAAATGAGCATGATGGGAGAATTAAATTTCTTCCTCGGACTGCAAATAAAGCAATCTGAGAAAGGAATCATGATCCATCAACAAAAGTATATCAAGGAACTGATCAAGAAATACAAACTTGAAAATGCTAAGACAAATGATACTCCAATAGGTATTGAAACCAGATTGGATGATGATCCATCTGGAACTTGTGTTTATCAACCTATGTACAGAGGTATGATAGGTTCTTTACTTTACTTAACAACTAGTAGACCTGACATATCTTTCAGTGTAGGTTTGTGTGCCAGGTTCCAAGCAAACCCAAAGGAGTCTCACCTGAAAGCAGTAAAGAGAATCCTTAGATACTTGAAAGGAACTGATAACTTGTGTCTCTTCTATCCTAGAAGTGACTCATTCGATTTACATGGCTTTACTGATGCTGACTATGCAGCTGATTCGGTGAATAGAAAAAGCACTTCAGGAATGGTACAATTCTTAGGACCTTGTTTAGTTTCTTGGGGTTCCAAGAAGCAAAACACAGTTGCTTTATCTACAGCTAAAGCTGAATACGTGGCAGCAGCAACATGTTGTTCACAAGTACTTTGGATAAAACAACAGGTTAGAGATTTTGGTCTTATTTTTGAATGTGTACCTATCTACTGTGACAACACAAGTGCTATATGTATTTCTAAAGATCCAGTTCAGCACTCTAAGGTAAAACACATCCACATTAGGCATCACTTTCTAAAAGATAATGTGGAGCAAGGGAATATTAAATTGGAATTTTGTAATACGGAATATCAACTTGTAGATATTTTGACCAAACCCTTGAACAGAGAAAGATTTGAGAAATTGAGACTGGAACTTTGAATGATCAAGCTGAATTGATTGCTTCTGAAGTTCCTAGATATGGCAAAGTCAAAAATAATGGAAATAGAGCAAAAAGAGCATTTAGTACAATCTTGGTGTGATAAGCATAGCTGAAGTGTCACCGTTGTAAACTACCAAAGGTAAGTTCATTAAATTGCTTAACTGTGTTAGTTATTAAATATATACATTGCACATATGTAAAAAGCGTGTTCCAATTGTGTATTTATAGAAAGTTTCTTTTAAATTAAATGAATTTGAAAAGAAAAGTTTTAGAAAGATTCATCCAATAATTTCAAAATTTCAAAATTAATTAAATTTGTTCAATTAATGACTGAACAGTGAAACCCCTTAAATTCCTTCACACCGCTTCATTAATTATAAAAGCTGATTTCACCCACTTCTTTCACCTCACTGTCAAATCAATTAACTTCTTCTAAGTAAAAACCCTCTTGAACTTTAAAACCTTCTCCAGAACAACAATGGTCATCATTGCTGAAATTGTCTCCTCAGAAAACTCTCAACACTCCGAAAATACCATTCAAGAAGAAGCATCTCCTTTAGCCATGGTGAACCACAAGTCATCTTCTACTTCAAACAAAACTCCTGAAAACCCTAAAAAATCACCTCCGAAACCTAAAGAAGTTGAAAGTAAGAGTGATCAAGGAAAATCCTCTGTCTCAAGTATTCTTCAACGGCTGAAAGAGTGGAAGGAGAAGAAACAAAGTGGGAAGTCTCTTGAAGAGCAAATCGAGGAAGTGGACGATTTTGCTCAAGGTAAAAATTCAAAAGAGACAAAAGAGGAGAACGAAGAGGAAGAAGAGATGAGTGAGGGAGAAGAAGATAAAGAAGATGAGAACAATTCAGAAAAGGAAGAATCTGAAAAAGAAGATGAAGAAGAGGAGGTAACTGATCAAGTGGAACTTGAGTCACAGGCCAGGGAGGTATGTTGTAGGACATCGCATTGATTTAGTTTGGTGTAGGAAAGCAAGATTTTTAGAATTTCTTGACTTAATTAAGTTTCAAGGCTGGGAATTCCTGTTGTCAAGAGTTTGAGCAAATTATTTGTACCCTATTGCTATGACTGAATTCTGTCAAAATTTTCAAGCAAAACTAGGAGTAATTTCGAGTGCAGTTAATGGAATTAAAATTGAATTAAACATTGAAACCTAGGTAAAATTCTGAAAACTCCTACTGAGGGTTATGAGTCATATATCAAAGGGAAGGGCAGTGTCAAAGTAGGAAACTACTTGACATGTGATATTGTTGAAGCTCTAGGTGGTCAAAGGGGGAAGAAGGTCATGAGTCATGATGATCTAAGTCCCATGAATAAATTGTTGTTTAATCTTGTCAAGAAAACTATTCTGCCTCGAACTGCTAAGAAAGGGGAAGCTTGTTTGATGGATATGGCAGTGATCTTCTGCATATCTAAGAAGATTAAGGTTAATTTTCCCTCCTTAATGTACCAGCATCTGGCACACTGTGTTCCTAGTAGGACAAAAGTGGGGTATGGAGCCATTTTATCTACTGTGTTTGAGAATGCTGGAGTAGTTCTGAAGGGTAAATATGGGGCTTTGGATGAAAATCCAGAAAATGTGATCAATGAGGAAACTTTAGCCGGGTTAAGTTTGGAGGTAGTGAAAGGAAAAAATCAGAAAATAGAAAAGGGAGAGAAAAAGAAAGAGAAAGCGACTGGGAAAAGGAAGAAAAAGGTTGTGTCTAAGCAGCCTGTGAGAAAGAGTAGGAGGATTTCTGCTAGTGTTGTTCCTCAAACCAGTATGGAACAACCACTGGAGTTGGATGTTGAGGAAAGTATCCTCGATGGGCAAGTTGAAGAATTGGTGGACAGGATGGAAAGGGTTGAGAATCAGGTGAAGGATTCTGCTGGAAAACTTCAGATGCTGACCCTGGAAAGGCTGGTGCAGGAGCAAGGGAAGGAGTTAAAGGAACTCAAGAAGCTGGTGCTAAAACAGGACAAGGAACTTCAAGAGCAAAAGAAGTTTTCAAGAGTAAGAACTGAACAAGGCTCTACAGGAACAAAAGGAGGAGTTTCTGGTGAAACTCAGGAGTCTTGAAGATAATCTGGAAGCTTCTGCACAACAGACAAAGGAAGACTACAAGAAAATTCTGGAGTTCCTTGAAACTTAGCCTACCCTACTCCTTTTCAATCTATATTTAGCCTAGCCTATTTTCTCTGTCTTAGTCATGAACAACTTTAATTTCTGTTTTTAGTGTTTGAACAATTAATTTTGGTTGTAAATTTTCTAAAATTGTTCAACTGGATGATAAATCTTTTGGTTTTCAATGATTAGTTGGAACTTTGCTTATACTTGTGTGTTTATGTATGTATTGAACACTTATGCAGAAAGGTAGAACTTGCTTGAGGTTGCTTAGCAATACTGCCTTTAGTTTCCCACACTCGATGAATTGCTTGTGGGGCTGTGGCTAGATGCTTAATACCTTGAAAAACAGGACTTTTTGATAATGCCAAAAGGGGGAAAAGAAGAAGCAAACTTGGAGGCTATAGTTGTTCTGGGTTTTAGTTAATAAAGTATCAGAAATCTCTTCTCTCTGATATGATACTTGAGTAATTCAGTTAGTTTTTAGTTTATTTCTGTTTTTAGTTTATATCTGCTTTTGCTTATTTTATTTCCGTTTTTTCTTATTTTTGTTTTATTGCCTTTAGTTTAATTTTTGTTCTGTGAGTGTTTACTTTTTGTTTATAAAAAAAAAATCAAAAATACGACCTTTTATTTTGTTTAACTTGTTTTAGAGTTTGCTTAAGTTTGTCATCATCAAAAAGGGGGAAATTGTTGAAGCATAATGGTTTTGATGATGAGGAACTTAAACTAAAAGCAAACTCAACTAATAAAGATTCTCTAGTGTGTGATTAGTCAAGGTGCAGAATAATCTTGGTGATTGAAGAGCCATCTGAATCTAAGAAGACATGAAGAAGATCTTTATTGAAGAAGTTAAACAAATCAGAGGAAGAGTTCTCTAACAAGAACTAAGTTCCCTAACAGGAACGTTCCCTAATAGGAACTTGAAGACTAGCAGTTAAGTTCTTTGGTGGAACTCGATATGCTTGGAGCCCAAGTAATTCATCTGATCAAAGTGCGGCGCAACAATAATAGTTAAGGTTTTATTGTTAATATGGTAAGTAGGTTAGTGCACGAAATTTATTAGAAACGTGATAAGTTTGCTTGGTAAATGAAATAAATATGGAAAATAATAAAAGATAGATTTTCTAAAAAGATTATTTTTCTCTAAAGTCGGTTTATTAAAAAGATAAGTCTTCTTAATAAATATCTTTTTATACTTATTTTCGGAAAAGATTTTATTTCCACTTGATTTGCTAAAACCGTGTTTAAAAGATAAGTTAAGTTAACATATTTATCTTTTTAGAAAACCTACTTTCTATACAAGTGTTGCTTGTATAAATAGTAGAGAGCAAAATGATTTAGGTTTTTTGTGAGTTTATGCGTGGAGAAATCACATTACTTTAATTGAGTAATTTTCCCAAGCTTTTAACTTATCATATTAGTTTCATTGCTTACCTATCATAATAGGCGTCTTATATTTGTATTGGTTGTGTTATTTGGGTGATATCTATAGTTTGTTACATACAGTTTTGTGTTAGCTTCTTGGTGAGGCTGTGAGTTTTGTACTGGGGTGGTACGAGTGTTTTGTGCTTTGGCAGTACGTGTAGTACTTTGGTGGTACGAGTGAATCTAAGTGTGGTGCTTAGATTGGGTAGGATAGGGTCCTATCAAGTAGCAAGTCCAGTGAGGAACTTGTGAAATAAAGGTCTGTGTCTAATAGGTTGTAACTTGGTGTTTGCCCTATTATAGTGAAGTGTTTTGTGTTTGAAATCCCTAAGGTAGGATCGAGGTTTTACTTCCAGTTGGGCCCTAGAAGGTTTCCTCGTAAAATCTGTGTGTTTTCTTAAGTTCCTATTCGCATTGTTTATTTATCCGCAAAAAGTAGTCATTATGAACTCTATACAATTCACCCCCCCTCTTGTATTAATTGCCTCAACTAACAAAAGGAAATGAAGTGAAAGTACTTGGATTTGAGAAATTGATATTTTGTGAACCATAATTCGAAAATTGTTGAAAATTTGTATCTAAATCTGAGTTGAGATAAATTGGAATGTTAGAATAGTAAGGTTGAAGATTTGGATTATTTTGGGGTTGTGATGAGTTTTGAGATTTTGTGGGTGTTTTTTTTCTATTAGATTTTGGAATATTCATCTCTTACACAATTTGATAATAAAGAGAGTAATATTCACTAAAAAAATTATTTCAAAATACCTCAATATTAGGCTCATTTTATAGAGAAAAATAAAATAGAGCCGTTGGTGTTTTTTTTTTTTTTTAGAATTGTATTTTAAAAATTATGGCCGTAACAAAATTACAACAATAATAAAAATCAGAGCAAATCTCAGCCATTGATTAAAGAAATAGGTGCCACAATCCTATTCTGCCACATCATCAAGGGTGTCATAAAAACCATCCCACTTGCAATATTATAATCCATAACCAACCACAAATAACCGGTTATCAAAATAACCAGGTTATTGAAATATTCCCCCAACTTTTTCTCTCTCTTCAATTTTTTTTATTATTTTTTCACTTTATCTCTCCTAATAACCAACCCAATTGGTTGTCCATTGGGCATGCTCTAAGTTGATTAAAATGAAAAAAATATTTAAAAAAAATAATAAAATTGAGAAGAACAGAGTTGGGATGAAATTATGGATTGATTTTTCAAAAACAAAAAATTAAATCATGGTCTCATGGGTTGAATAAGAAGATAAATGAGATACTTTCTCTCTCCTAATTAAAATTACAAGCTATGATGGCGCCATCCAAATTTCTCCCGATGCAAAGACTACTTGTGCAGGAAAATGCCAAAAAAATTCCCTCTTAATTCTCCCTCCTAAAATTTCAGCTTCCCTCTTCTTTTTTGTGGGACCTGCTGAGTTGTCCAAATTCTATTTGTAGTGTGTAAAATTGATTTGTACACTGAGTGTGAATGTAGTGTTATCGTAACTACTGAGTTGTTGACCGTTAACTTCGAATTTTGTTGACTTTTATCTCTCCTCATTAAATTTC